GTCACGAGTTCTCCCCTTCACTTCTGTCGCCTATCCGGCGCACTTTCAAGAACGGCTGTCGTTTGGGAGAAGATAGAATGTCTGGCTTATGCTGGCTTGGTATACTGATTGTCATCCTTTGCCTGTATACTAGTTCACTTGGCGGGACCCGTCTATTAACCATTAAATGGGTATGTTTCAAACAAAAACTGGTGAACATCCCTATGTTCACCTACCCAGGAGGCGGTGGTCGTAGCCCTACTGAAAATCAACCAACCACTCAGAACAAGTATGCACATACCTCAACCCAATCAAGATGGAGATATAACGCATCAAAGATATCAAAAGCAACTACTTGGAAAGGAGGATGTAGTATTACAGCCATTTCATGACTTCAAAATGACCTGTCAAGCAGGACAACCATTCTGCCCCCGGCCCGACACCCGGCTCTGGAACCCAGGCATCATCCAGCTTACGATGCGCCGGGGAAACTGGCGGGACGTCAAAAAACATGGGCGGTAACCCGGTGGCAACAAAAAAAGGCCCTCATGGATTGGTTTACATTTACAGGAAACCAAGATTTTACCATGAAGTATGGAGATTTTCACTGATTTTCCCATCCAATTTCGGGAATTCGACCAAATTAACCCCCCAAAATTTGACTTTGTAAGGTTGTCCGCAGTATCACCATTGGAGTTCCTACATGTTCCTACTACAACCAGCTCCCAGTTGGCTCCTGGGTTGTCGCCACTGGTGTTCGACTCACATCGCCCATCTGGTTAGAGCTCTCAATCCATTCCAAACCTATTAGTCCCTTCAGTCAGTCATCATCCCACCTAGGATTGGAAAAAAACATGTTGGAACCACCGTCCTGTTCTTTGAATATACAGCACACATTGTATATTCACATATCAAAATAAATCATCAACTATCAGCGCATTGTCCCCATGATCCTTAAATGCATTCATGATGAGTTTAGCCATGTCCCAGCCATAGATTTCATCCATCCATGTTGCTGATCATGAGTTATCCATGCTCAGGCCTCAGGTGTCAATGTGTCAAACATAGCAATTGGAAGTCTAACTAAATGAAGGTTTATATATATATATATAGATTGGGTGGATTAATAGTCACTTCAAAAGTGGATTAATAGTCACTTCAATACAATCTATAGTTTATAGCTAAACATTCACAAGCGATCCGTTTTCCACACTTTTTTTGTCAGAGGCTAAACGATTCAATTCCAATTGTGTCTTACTGAATGACCATCACATCTCCATTATATCTGCATTATAGTCCATTATATTAGATTCCCCATGAAAAAAAAATCCTTTCATTCTATCACCATGAATCATATGGGCTTGTCTGAAAATAGTGTGTGTACCAGAAAGTTGATGGTATACCCCATTTTCAGACACACCAATATCCACTAGATTCCCCTTGATATTTCTGTACATTTATATCACCATGAATTACAATCATATTATGATTCCTCATGATCTTGTAATTCTGGTTGGTGGCTTCAACCCCTCTGAAAAATATTAGTCAGTTGGGATTATTCTTCCCAATATATGGAAAAATAAAAGCCATGTTCCAAACCACCAACCAGAATTATACTCTTGGAATTATATACCTGGTATAGCTTATATCAACTTCTATTGTTATGACAAATTTCCCATGGGGAATTGTTCTATTCCCCACGATATGTCCAGCCGGTCCGAACAAATGGCCTCGGCCGTCAACCTGGAGCGCTCGTGCGCGCGAATTGTGAAGGAACTGACTCAAATCTTTTGACTTCAAGAACAACTAGGGGTTCATTGAATGGGGCTTCATGGGATTGAATGAGATGTATATTGGGATTTAATTTCATGGGACTTCATGGGATTCAATATGATTTCATGGGATTTAATGATATTGAATGGGATTTCATGGGATTTAATGAGATTCAATGAGATCGCATGGGATTCATTATCCCAAGAACCCAAACTAATGGTGATTATTGGGATTTAATGGGATATCATGGGATAGCAAACAACAGGGTTGCCCTGGCATGCCCTAGTCCTACGTTTGGAGGGGACAATGGGTAGAGGCAAAATGCCACTTGTTCCCAAAACAAGTGGCTATCATTTGCCTACATATGTGTAATATCTGTATTTAAATAATGGGTTCGAGAAACCCTGAAGTTTCAACTAGTTCATGCTTTCAACATCTTTCAAACCCCAAAAAGTGCCAGGGAGGAATGGACCGAATGATACCGAATGGAAGGTAAACAAACAATCTGAAACCACCAATCAATCAAGTTCTTTGTCCAAGTTTGACTCATCTATATATGTAAAGGTTTCCTAAGTCATGGGGGTACCCCGAGTCATCATCCAAGTCATTGGACTATGACTGAGTCAGGTGACGACTGGGGATCCCCAATGACTTCAGAAACCTCCAAAGAATCCCATGAATGGGGTATTCACTGGTTTATGACAGCTATCCCTAATAATTATCCTATATATAATATTATATAATATTATATTATATTATATTAAATCATATTATATTATATTAAATCATATTATATTAAATATTATATTAAATCATATTATATTAAATCATATTATATTATTATATTTTATTCTATATTATATTATATTGCATTGTATTGTATTATATTAAAGTATAATAGTATAGTATATTATATTGTATTAAATCATATTATAATATTACCCACTATGTCCCACTATTGATAGTGATTCTGGAAAACAAAGGGGCTTCTGGATAATTATCCCACATTATCTCACTATTGTAATGAAAAGCTGGAGCGTACCCTTGAGCTGGAGCGGGATTGTGAAAAGATGTGAAAAGTCCCTTCATGATCATGTAATATATTCCCATATGATATGAAGTATACTGGTTGGTGGTTTCAACCCGTCTGAAAAATATGAGTCAATTGGGATGATTAAATTCCCAATATATGGAAAAAAAACATCCACCAACCAGTATAATATTCCCATATGTCATTATCATACTGCCATATATTAGTAATTAGCCCATATGATCCACATGTGATTCTGAAGCTATGGACTCCTCCGCCCGCCTCGCGCACCATGGCGACACGGAAGCGATGGCGACACGGAAGCGACCTGGCCATTTTTCATGGGGAAAAATGGCCAGGGAAAATGATGACGACCCAACGGATTGGGAGGTTCCATGAGGTTCCATTAGGTTCCACGTTTTCAGACCCTGTTTATAACATTTTATAACATTTGCTTTTGTTCAGCCCTTATCAGTGGTTCTGTGTGGTTCATACGCCCTGAAAAAAAAAACGAGGGTTGTTAGGGGGGTCACTGAGGTAATATCACCACCAAGAACCACCTTGTGTGGGAAGTGGAAAACGCACGAGTTACAGTATGGTTCAAATTGCTTTAATGCTTGGGGTGGTGATTGATTGATTAACAAATGAGGGATTCATATGGATTCATAACCTTTTTAACTTGTTTTGGATCTTAAAATTAAACCACCTAACCAAAATAACCAACCAAGATTCACGATGAGGCATCAATAAGAGCTTTCAAATGCTTTGAACGTGTGAACACTCTTCAGTGTCTCATGCTTGTATGATTCTGTATAACTGCGTGTTTTTTTAAAGATGGCAGCCATTTTCATATCCCCAACAAAGGCCGCTCTCCGGTTTTGGGGGTTTGGCTAGGTGGCTTTCGTTTCAGTCTCTGGTTTTGCCAAAACCAAATCACCAAAAGATGCTCTCAGAATGGTGCCATCATGATCAAGCAGTTTCCGCTCCTTAGGTATTGCCCTCAGAAGAAAACTGCAACTGGTTGAATATGCTTGACTGCACATGCCATGCCAACCAAGAAACCAAACTATTTCTGAGTCTGTGAAAAGAAAATACATCTTTACCCCATATGTTGACATATTTGTAGGTAGATTAGTAGATTATTCACCACCCCATATGACATATTGGATTTTGTAGGTAGATTATCTACATCTTTGTGTCTGGCTGCCCATGTTTGGTGGGAAAATGGATGCCCATAGCTCAGATCCATCCCCTGCGGGTGCACCTGTAGCGCTTGCCAGAGGTGCTGTGTCTATGAAACAAATGGACCTGGAAAACTCGTGAAAACTCACATGGATGTCTGCAAATTGGGTAAATATGTATATATATATATATATCACAAAAACAAATGCCATTTGACCAGCGTTTTTTGGAGACAGTATTTTCAGACAAACACACATTTAACATTATTAAATCCTGCGTAAGATGACTGGGGCACCTCAAGGAGCACACGGTCGAAGTTCACGAATAGATTGCTATCAATTGCTAATCAAACTATGTCACGTCTACGTCACTTCATTGTGATTTGTTTTTTGTCTGCTTGGCTTGCATGTTTTTTTGTTTGCGGACTCATGATCTACAATTCATCGATTCGTCCTACCCTACCCGAGCCAAAGAGGGCAAGGGTCGACATGCAGCCAAACTGACCTGGATGAAGCAGCTGTTGCTAAAAGGATCTGTGAAGTATTGTGAAATGATGGGTATCCTGAGTACTGTAGAAACTACATAGAATATAACCAAACCTCAAGGACTGGACTCCGTCATGGTGCTACTGGAATGTGTGTGGGGGGGAACGCTATTCAACGATCCTACTATTGTATCAGGTGTCCAAGAATGCCATGATTTCTGTTGGTCAAATCTCCATCCCTCTTGATTCAACCCATCCCATTGTGGGAGTCAGTAACATTCTGGATACATTTTCGATAACTCACCAACCTGAAATAACGCCTCCCATCTTCCCTGACCGCGCGCCGACTACCCTTGAAATAACAATTATTTCATATTATTTCTGGTGACGTCCAAGTGAGGTTGTTGCAATTCATCCAAGATAATGATATCAACCATAAATAGATATATATATATATATAGGTGGTATGTTTACCATTCCCAAATGGGTGATTTATGGCATTGTTTCACCCACATTACTGAGTCACAGCCAGCCGCGCATGTCATTCCACCATTTTCAGCACGACAGCCACAGCTTCGCGCAGTCTTTGGCGCAGCGACACAATGTTCGCCGCTGAAAATGTGAAACGACTCATGACATCGCGTGCTCGATGGTGTACCTTGGGTCTGACCCAAATCCACGAATGGTTGGTTTCTGGAGATTTTTCACGAAAGCCATGGCATCCCTAAATCCGTTGACATGTCATGTTCCCCATTATTTCAGGAAATAATGGGGTAGGAATTTGTTAAGGGAATTTATATATTTTTTAATAGTTTAGGATTGTTTTTTTTGGTTTCTGGCGGTGAAATTCCATACTATGTGCAGCATTTAGGAGCTGGAACCTTCCATTTTGCAAGCCATTTGCAACATGTTGGTTCCATTTTGCTCGCCAGTTGCATCGTTTGGGAGCTCGTACTTGAATCTTGCTTGCCAGCTGCAACATTTGGGAGCTGGAACTTTCCACTTTGCTTGCCAGTTGCAACATTTGGGCGCTGGAACCTTTGATTTTGCATTCTATTTGCAAGTTGTTGTTGATTGCTGGTTGTTGTCTGGTAGTTGTGGGTTCTGGTTTGTTTTCCTATTCTTGTTGCAGTTGTAGTTTTTGCAGTTGTTGTAGTTTTTGTAGTTGCGTAGTTGCAGTTGTAGTTGTAATAGTTTTTTTTTGGTTGTTGCCATTGTTGCCATTGTTGCTATTGTTGTGGTTGTGGTTGTTGTTGGTGGTGCTGTTGCTGGAGGAACGCACCAACAACTGTTGATGTTGTGGTCTTTGTTTGGGTGTAGGCCGTGGTTGTGATTTCCTTATTCTTGTGGCTTTGGTTGCAGTGAACACCAACAAAGCCATGAAGTCAAGAAGCAAGTAAAGCTTTGCAAAACCAAGAAGAAAACTGGCGAAACCATCAAGGCCAAAAAAGCAGAGAAACAAACAACTGCGTCTGCGTGGTATTTACAATACCTTCAGCATTCTGCAACGTCCGCCTGCATTGTGGAGATAAAAACTCTCATTTTGCACGGCATCTGCGACATTTGGAAGATAGACCCTTTCCTATTGCATAGTATTTGCAGGATTTTGCACATGATATTTGCAGCATTTTTGAACTTCAACCTTCTATTTTGCGTGACGACCTTCGAATTTTGGATAATATCTGAAGCATTGTGAAACCTTAACTTGTTGACCAGCTCAATTGCATCTGATGGTCTTTACACCAACCGAAAGAAACCAAAAAGGTCAAAAATGAAAGCACGAACACGAAACAACAAAATCGAAACAGCTGGAAGGGGGCATTGGGGGAAGGTGCAGGCGCTCCCCCGCAAGGAAAACAGAGACAACTTTGTTCTAGTTGTGTTCCTCTTTTGCCTTTGTATATAGTTGTTCCTGTTGTTTTTGTTGCTTTTGTTGTTCCTGTTCATCCTTTTGTATTTGCTGCGCTTGTTCTTTGTGCTGCTGGTGCTGTTCATAATGTATATATATAGTTGTAGATGCACGGGTAATTAAGCAGAAAAATAAAGAAGCGAGTAGAAAAAACAAAAAGCAGCGACAGCAGAAAAAAACAACAACGCAAAGAACATATATGACATAAAACAGAGAAACAAAAAACAAAGCAGAAAAACAGAGAAGCAAAAAGACAGAAGAACAAGGAAAAAACAACAAAATGTAGAAACCAAAAAGGACAGAAACACAAAAAAAACAGAAAAATCAGAAACGCAGCACAGCAGAGAGGAGGGAGAAATCAAAAAATTAAAATAAAAAAACACCATAAAGATATATAAAGATAATAAATTGTTCCCCGCATTTCAGCGCCATAAATTCCGGCACTCCTGGCGACAAAGCAATGTCTGGCTCAAGACCCTCAGGAGCTGTGCATGTTTTGCGCATTCTGACTTGATGCATCTCTCAACGCAGGCTATATATAATACAATAATACAATTGCTATGAAAAACTGTTGACGAATGAAGCCTTTGGGCATTTAATATATATGGAAATAACATGAAATAACTATGGAAAATGATACCATTTACAGGTGATTTAGCGATTCGAATTACCAGCTAGATATTTAACATAGCCATAGAAAGATCCACCATTTTTAAGAACGGTAAACCATCTATTTCTATGGGCCATCTATACCATGGCTATGTGAGTCATAACCAGAGGGTACCGCCATAAAACATTGATGTTCGATGGTCGCCAGGTGACATACGAGCCATGGAGTTGAACCCGCGCAAATCGCCACTTCCTGGCGATAACAAAACGATGATCGACCGTGAGTTGGTTGGAGCCTGGCGATGACAAAAGCCACTTGGAGAGGTATTTTTGAATACACTACTGGTTGGTGGTTGACCTACCCCTCTAAAAAATATGAAAGTCAGTTAGGACTATGATTCCCAATATATGGGAAAAAACAAAATGTTCCAAACCACCAACCAGACTATGTCATCAAGTCACTAGAACATGATTCAGTCAGCGAAGTTGTGAACACATTTAAGTGTAGCTCTTTAAGACTCCTGTTGAAACTGGATGGCAGTTTCCATACCCATAGGATCCATGTATGCTATATATGCTAACATTTGGGGTATATTTATGGTAAATGTTACCATATATAGCATACATGGATCCTATGGGATATCTTTCGGCCAGATGTTGACCCGACGTGCCACCAAGAGACTTAAAAGATTTCCGGCATCGCAGTTCAACGGGCTGTCAGCGTTCGGATCACGCCTCGTCCAACGCCATGGGAACCCTTTTTCTGTTCGCAACATAGACGAAGCGCAGACTTTTTTCTAGGCTACTTATAAGCCAGTTATGGGATAACTGGGATAACCCTACTTAGGCAACTATGAATTAGGGTTATGAACCAGTTATTTAGTGGGATGATTCTCCAAGTTGTGGATTACTGCAGGGAAATTTGGATCCCACATGGAGGCCGCAGTTTCCCAAAGTCTGAGGGCAGAACAACAACGACACCACTGCTCTGCACACATACCTCAGGCTGTTGGAGGCCGCAGTCAGGATGTCGAATTTGAAATTTGATCGCACGAAAGAAAAGTACCCTCTGGCTATGTGGGAAAATATGGGATAATCATATCTATCTATCTATCTATCTACCTATCTATATCTATCTATCTATCTATCTACCTATCTATCTATCTATCTATCTATATAATGACAATCTATATGGTCAAATAACAGAAGAGTAGAAATTCAAAAAATGCGGGACATGGGACAACCTGATTGCCTTTCTCATCCACTGATGGGAGAATCTCCAGTGAAGGGGGCTTAAAGTAACCATCTTGTCCCCAAAGTGAGAGATGTCTTTGTTTCCGTGGCTCTGAAAAATGCAGAACAACATGCTGAACATTTCTTCTGGCAAACTGAACCAAGGTCTTCTAGGTGTTCCAAAATATTGTGTTATACCTTACTTTTTCAACAAAATCAACTAAAAGCGCGCAGACAGGACGACATATACGTACGACTATAATGAAATGTGTATATATATATCAATAATTACATTATATCAACTATACTTGACATAAAACATGATATATATATATATTATACATTATATATATATATGTTATCTTATACAAATAAATTTTAATATATCCATATATATATGTATATTCAAATAATACTGTACATGATATATATATCATATTATTGTAAATATATACTATATACATGTGTAATATTTTTGAAAATATGTGTATATATATATGTGTGTATGTGTATAGGTATACGTATATGTATATATATATATCAATTATCTAACGTATATCAGAATAATGTATACTAATAAAATAAGTCATGGAATCAAGTATGTGTATATATATTTACATTAAATCATAAATTGTATGATGTTTATATTATAAAGGTATGTTATATATTATTACATGCCATACAAATATATATGCATGTATATTATAGTGCAAATATATTGTGTATATATAAATATATACACATACATATGTATATAACATGTATGTTACAATATATATATAATTATAACATTGATTATATATTTATTATATGTTTTTATTATATTAACATAAATTATATTATATGTGTGCTGTATGTATATATATATATAAACTATTATCTGACCAAAAAATATATACATTGTATGTGTATATATCATGTAATTATATAGTGTATATGTACATATCACATATGAAAATGTATATATACATATCATATGCATATGTGTACATATATATATATGTATCATATATATATATATATATCATATATATATATATCATATACATATACGCATATTTGTGTATATATATATAATATGTACCTATATATATACCATGTTTATATGCATTCGATCATATTGTCTATCCTACACACATTACATATATATATATACATATATATTAACATATATATGACATAATATCATATATATATAATATAATATATATATGTATACACATATGCCCGGATCTTCGAAAGGATGCAAATCATTATCCGTCTGCAAGATGTCTGCCCTTACGGATTTCTTGTTACGGACCTGGAAAGTGGTCAATTTTGTATTTGCCACCTTTTTGGGCTGACCTTACTTTACTTTGCGTAAAAAAGGTCGATTTTTCTGGGCGTAAACTCCCAGGAAAAGGAAGGAAATAGCCATGGACATGGACATGTTTATTTCGACATGGACAAGTCAAAACAACAGGACTGAAATCGAACCAAAATCTGCCATGGACAAAAAAATGTAACAAATAAATATTCAGGGTAGGTAGGTATGTATGTATGTACGTGCGAACGTATGTATATTTATGATTAATTCTGTATAGAATATGGGTCAAAATTGGGTAGCCCCCAAGTGTTGGATGGTACTCATATCTCATCACCAATCCATCTGTTCACAGGGCCAGGCGCTGGAGAGTCCAAGCAGGGCTCCAGTCGGTTTTCAAGATGTCCACACATAGCCTGCAGACGATGAAGCTTCCGAGATGCGAAGATGCGACACGCCTCCCTGTTTCAGGGATGCATCTGGTAAATAGATGTTGTTATGTGTTTACACTGGTACATTTAAGATTGGTGGCCAAATAGTGGTTGGATGTGGTTGGGCTCCTTTCTTTTCAGCTCGTGCTGAGGAAAAGGAAAGACACCGCTTGCCCTATAGCCATCTATAGCCAAAAATCCCCAGAATCCAGCATCAATAGCTTTAATTGGCACATTTTCTAGAATCGCATAGAAATACATATCCTACATATCCCTGACCTTCCTCCACAACGGGTTACTAACCACAACGTTAAACCTTGTCTTTAGATGACTGCAGAAAATCAGTTCTATCTAGCCACAAACTGTTTCACATCCAGAGAGTGGACTAACATGGACTAACATGGACAAACCGTGTTGGCTCAGTCCAGGCAGAAGTATTGCTATGAAGAGTGGGTGGAAAGCAAGTATGAGAGGAAAAACGTGAATCTGCCAAGAGGTCAGATCCAGTTGCAAATTGCAAAATCTGAAGCATTCTTTTGTCTAAACCATTGTTTTGATTTGTTTGGTCCATTTTGAAGTGTGAAAAGTGCGTGAAAATAGCGTGAAAAGTGCGTGAAAAGACCGTGAAAAACCCGTGAACACCATCAAAAAACAGGGGGCAAGACTCAAATGATGGTTTGACTAAAGTTTTTGCAAAATCGAAGATCTGGTGTGACACATTGCGCGCTACCTTTCTTGTGGAGCATGTGCGTCATGGATGCTATCTTTAGGATTCAGTAATGGCAAGCTGAAGCGAAGGGAACTTGTTGGAACTCCTTAAAGGCCGGTCTTGTTTATTCTGCATTCTTGATGTAATCAAAGATTCTGCCTCTGCTCTTTGGAAGGCAGTAGTGATAGGCAGTGAAATGATGGGGTTAAAGACATTGGGGTTAGACTAAGCACAACGAAACAAACCTTGGGACCTTGGAAGGTCATGGTATCCGTACGAATCCCCTACCGCTGGTAACTCGTCGTCCAGTGGCTCGCCGGTGTTGAAGTTCACGTTGGGATGAAACACTTTGGTTTCAAAACTCACCTGGCGAATCCCAAGCTCCGAGAAACGGCGGAAGATGGGACAACAACGGGGCCCCCCAAAAAGGAGTCAGATTTGGATAAGATGTGAGGATATCGCAGCTGCCTACCCACACATCATGTTCGAATTAACACAAAAGCAAGAACCACAGGCCCACTCCGTCGACGTTTTTTTGCGCAGCAATTAATCACCCATTTTAATAAAGACTCAACAAAAAACTGGCATCCCAAAACTTTCAAGATTGCCCTCTGACAATCAAACATGGCAATCGAAAATGGAGGGTATTCAAATTCCTTTCAGCCCATGATTTCAACAAGTGGCCTCCAGATACTCCAACCCACTGCCTGTGGCGCAGCGTAGGGATAACTGGCTGAACAGAGGATCTTCAGCTGAAAGCGACCTCCCTCATAGGGCGACTCCTGACAAGGGAAAATAATGGCAAGGCACATCTTGGATCGCATAGAGGCATAGAGGTGTTTGAAAGAGTACATCTTCCTGGGATCAATATTAATCTGGTTGGTGGTATACCTACCCCTCCAAAAAATATGAAAGTCAGTTGGGATGATGACATTCCCAATATATGGAAAGTCATAAAAGCCATGTTCCAGTCACCACCAACCAGTAATATAACATTATAATATATTATAATAATATGTACACCCTCCGGCAATCAAACATGGCAATGGAAGATCCATAATCAAGCATGGCAATGGAAGATCCACCATTTCGTTCGATAATTTTCCATGAGCACACTCCATTTATGAGGAATTACCATTCCCACGTTTGATTACCGGAAGGTATATTTGTTCTTAGTGATATGGCATGCAAGCAATATTGAAGAGTAGGCAAAGTAGTTTCACGCGTCATTAAAAGGTCACTTAAAGGGATCCATAAACATGGAATGAAATATGGAATGAGAAGCCCCCGCACGATGATGGGCCTACACACTTTGGAAATAGAGCGTGGCAAAGTGGCCAAAGCCCAATCACTGTTGCATCATTCCATTCAATGGATTGGTTTAAGGGAAAATCTACAGGAAACCATAGAGTTTCCCATTAAATATGGGGCTTTCCTGTAAATTCTCCCTTAAACCAATCCATTGATCCATGACAAGTAAGGGCTCTGGAAATTTGGAAATGCAGAAGAATCGTCAGGTTGGATCCCAGCACGACAAACACGTGACCACACAACTTGCCCCTGCAAAGTGAACATCCCTAAGAAAATGAAACAGCATGGTCTTGTGGGATGTGAATAACAACCTCATTTTGGAGTGTTTGTTTTGGATTTATCCATCCTCACTCATGGCTGGTTGGTGGTATACCTACCCCTCTGAAAAATATGAAAGTCAGTTGAGATGATGACATTCCCAATATATGGAAAGTCATAAAAACCATGTTTGCAACCACCAATCAGACAGCCATTTATAGTTGATTTACCCATTAATAGCATGGTGATGTTCCATATGTTATGTTATGGGACTGTTTACCAGAGGGTATTAGCCTAATGATATCAAATAATTATCCCAATGATACCCCTATACAATCGTATTTTGGATTTAACCATCCTCACTCATAGACAATATGAACTTCGAGAACTGCGGCTGGGCGGCTGGGTCTCCCGCCTGGGGACCATTGATGACGGCGCGCCACTGTTCAAAGCTGTCACCATCCCTGGAATGCTCGGAGAACTGTTACCACGTGCCGTGAACGGCAGGAGCACTTACCGTTTGTATATTCAAACTGCGCAAATGCCACACAAGTATACCGATAATCATTGATAATCATCATATATGCACATATGAAAAAAGAATAATAAAGGAATAAAATCAGATGAAATCATATAAAGTCATATAAAATCATATAAAATCATATAAAATCATAAAAATCATATAAGATCATATAAAATCATATAAATGATGAAGATATCATGGATGGAACTCGTACTTGGGGCTGAAGCAGCTCGATATGCTGATAGGGGGTCGAAGTACTCATCCAATGGGGACACCTTTGAACCTGTGATACCACGATGTTTTCCTACTTGTTTTTGGCGCTGGAAACTGTGTTTTTATCATCCCAGCTGGAAACTGTTGGTCGTCTGACAATCTGTTGGTCATGCTTTCCAGCCCCAGCTGGAAAGTCAGTTTGCTTGGATGTGGGTCACATTTTGAGTTTCAGGAGACCACAACCGGGCAAGTGATGTGCCGGGCCCATTTTGTTGGATTCCGTTGGATGCTTTCCTGGACCTAAAATTCAACCACTCACCAGGATTGATCCAGCCGAAGTCCTAATAAATGGTATGAATCAACCTGTCCTGTAGTCATGATGTCCTCCATTTTTCGTTGGAAAACAAGTCCCTGCATATGTGCTTCAAAGAAAAAACATGAAAAAAGAAAATAATATGTGCACCAACCAGTCACCAAGGTGTATAGTTTTTTTGCGACACCCTGAGGCCGACGCAATTCCAGCAGGATGTCGGGGTCAGGGTTCCTGGCGCTTAAAATGTGGTGAGCTGACCAGTAAAACATTGGGAAGCCATTGGAAATTGTTGAACTTGGTACAGTGGTTCGTTTAACTCATGAATAGTTGTGGGATACATCATACATCCCACATAACTATACATAACTGGGATGTACCCCCAAGTGTAGCTGCAAAACAAAAAGGAAACTTTGGAGCTACAACTACCCAACCTTTGCGGGAACCAAGAGTTGAATTCGGATATTGCACAATCTCGTTAAACAATCAATACGCAACCAAGCGAGAACCATTGGGTCGCGTTGGGGACATTTCCACAACTTATGGTCAGGTTGTAGACCCTGCTTTCACACCACGAGTACCCAGGGAAAACAGTGGATTGTGATGAGTGATGACTGGTTTACCCTCCAGTACGTAAACATAGAGAAAAATATGGGGAAAAGTCAGCATTTTTGGATCATTACTGAACGTGAAACACGCATGGATTGCCAGCCGCTTCTCGGTCCTTTGTACTTCTTTCCATTCTTTGTTGAGACGATTTCTGCGGCGATGTTGCCAAGGAGGGACGGCGAAGGAGGGACACCCAGGCTGAGAAAATCCCGGGCAACTTATATATGTGTTCCTTCGTTTCTGGGAGTGAAACCTAAACAGTAGACAGGATGTGCAATGGTAGTGGTTATACAATGTTATATCATGTTATATATATACATACATACATACATACATACATACATTATATTATATATATAGATATTATAGATATGCACATAACATAAGTAGAGATAACTAACAAACTCTGTCTTTGGAGGTAAGGCTGGGGCACCTCAGGCATGCAACTCTAGCAACCATTCAGATTGGTCGATGTAAAGAAGACGATGTGAAGCTCGTATCGTCAGCAACGAAAATATGTAGCTTTTGGAGGTGACTACCTGATCTCAAGGTCGCGACTTGACTGTCACACAGCATACTGCAGCTATAAGTTCGCCCCTTTCATCATCCCAAACACCGACTGGAAACAAATATGAGACCCGCGGAAATGTAGGTGACCCAAGCCCAGCGAACGCAAGTCCCCCTCCTGGCCATGTTGGGAGGCGAGACCGTTCTGGACCCAAATGGCAGAACAAAGATCTGGTTGTGGTCGGCGTCTCTTAATGGACCTCCCAATCCAGGGCCTCGTGTTTGGGCAAAACATTACAAAATCCTTCAGAATCCACCATCTCCACGCAAATTCGTTGACAGTTGTCAAAGTTGTTGGAGAAAACATGAATAGTTTTGGAGTATACGGTATGCCCCATATCCTTTGCTGTCTTGTGTTCAGAAGCCAGCTTAGTTTCAAGCTGGAATCACACTTTCAGAAAGTGGCGATCATGGAGCTTGTCCTCGCCATGAAAATGGCCTGAGGGTCTCATCTTTGCCATGGAACCTGTACCAACTTCGGATACCATCTGGTTATTTAACATAGCCATGGAAAATCACCACTTTTAATAGGTAAACCATCTACAAATGGGCCATTTCCCATGGCTATGTTAAGTAACCAGTAACCAGAGGGTACTTTAAATACTTAGTAGGTTTTAAGGAGTCTCGATTGGCTGAACAAACCCCTTCGTCTTCCATCCCGCAGAGTTTTCTTTCAGCTGTTCGCTCACCCCAACAGCAGCTGGCGCCTCAATAGAGCTGCACATGTCATGAATGAATTTGTCATCCAGGTCCCCCTTGTCCACGATATCACCACTTTGTGTGCTTCAGAGTTGAACAGACGGAAAACAGGTCGTCGATTTTTGCTGCCAACCACCTAGTGGTGAATGGTTGAGGATGTAATGATAACACAATATCTATCCAACGTATGCCCTTCAAAATATTTGCGTGCTCCAACATCAAGTTTGGAGTGTCTTTAGCGTGGCAGCAGTCTGTCAGTGAAGCGGTTCAAGTCGACTTGGGGACCCGAAGACTTCTGTACACGCGAAGGAAGCACCCCTCCGCCGACTTATGCAGGGGATGTGCTGTAAATTGCTACTAGTACAAGGACGTCTGCTTCATGATGTTGATGAACTCCGATTCATTGATATCTCCTCAGAAGGAGCTTCCCAAAAAACGAGCCAAAACCAAAAGGCAACCAGAGCCAAAATATGAGAAAATACCCTCTGGTTATTTAACATAACTAGGAAAAATCACCATTTTTAATAGGTAAATCATCTATAAATGGGCCATCTATACCGTCATAACCAGAGGGTAGATGAAATTAGCTGCCAGCTTTGAGATCTTTGAGCTGTGCACCAATTCAAGTGCTTTGAGCTGTGCAGCACAGGTTAGTTTAAGCATTGAGACTCCGAACCTCAAAAAGGTTAGTTTACAAAACTCACAGCCAAATGCCAATGGATACTGTAAAGCATGGTATTCCGTGAATCTCCCAAGTATCATTTCATCCTAAAAACAGCAAAAGACAGCCTATCACTTGCACCCTTCAAGGACACTGAGTCAATCAATACGTGGAACAATGGGGAAACACTTGGAGCGTCAACATCTTGTGCGTATATATATATACACACACATAATTATATATATAGACACATCTATAGTATACTATTGGATGAGTACTAATGCATCAGTGGATTACAACCATGTTCAGAAAAAACACGGTAGCTCCCGATGACGAAAGGACGTCTCTTCCGCCAGGTATCCATCTTGGTCGAGATCAAACTCCTCAGCGCTGGATATCACGAACTAGTTCAGTTGAAACCAACAGACAGAACTAGGGGGCCTCATCTTATAGGGATATGATATATATATATATATATGGGGGTTGATCAAAACATAGTTGCCGGTGTGTTATAAGAAATGGCCTTGCGCCCACCCTTGGGCTTCCTTGCGCTCTTCAGGGTTTTTATTGTGTTCCATTACATAGATTAAAATATGCATTTAAGAATTGATTGCCGCAAAAAGTTGCTCAGGGGGTGTTCACTGATCCAGTACCCTGTGGAACGCAATTTTTTTTAGCCTTCGGAAGAAGACTCTGATGATTCGGAGCTCGAAGTGTCAGAAGTTGAGGATTCTGAGGAGCTCCGCAGCTTCCGCTGCCATCTCTCTGATCGCAGCATGAGGCGGCGGGCCCTCGCCGCTACCTGTCTCTCCCACGGAGTTTGCGGATCATCATATACTGGCCCGCTTCAGATTGATGAAACTGAAATTTCCTGCAACGTGATGTTTAAAGTCCTGTCGTTTCGTGGCAGCCCAAATAGCTGTGTTTTCTCTCACTCGGCTTGATTCTACTGCTGCTGGCCGATCCGTGCCCAGATCAACCCCTCAATCTGACACCCCTATAAGCCACTGGACATCCAAGCAAAACACATCTCCCCTCAGGCCTTGCGCCGCTTCAAACCAGGTGGTGGCTCAGGAGCTTCAACGTTGTTTTCCTTGGCCCACCTTTCAGCTGCAGCCCAGCTCTTCAGGAGCTTGCCCCGTTTCTCGGTGCTGGAAAACTTGTAGGTTCTGTACTCTATGGCGTTGCTAGTCAAATTGGTCTTAACGTCCCACACGTTCTAGCTATGAGCTCTGAGCCGCTACAGCTGCAGATACCGACCGATACAAAAAAGAACAACGATATTAATATATCTTGCGCCCGCCCTTGCGCTTTCTTGCGCCTCCCACGCAAAACGCACTACAAATTTACAACAACATACTCCAATCATACGTTTGTATAAAAATCCTCTGCGGGGGTTTTGATCGTCACTCATATATATATATGGTTTTATATATATGGTTTACACATATATATATATATAACAGTATGGTGTTATATGGTTTTATGGGGATTGTGACAATGGGACAATGATTGGGATATATATATATATTTATAATGGGAAGGAAAATACCAAACCCTCGGATGTCATCAAGTACGTGGCGAGCCGCTGGACGTTTTTCCCTATAGCGATGTATCATCAAACGTTGGTTCTATATCCCCATGAAATATCAGATCATTCTCTCCAGCCAATGAACCCAGAACATGGTGGTTATTTTTTTCCCATTTTATATCCCATGTTGATATGAAAAAAACCACCTGATATCCTTTTGAAATAGCCTTATATTAAAATCTCCCAACATTTGATGGTTAACTGGTTAATGTCAACCCTGGACTAATAAACCCCTAGATTGTTCAATTGGGAGGGTACCATTTAAGTATCAGATTATGACTATTGGAGGAGTACCCCCTAATTTTCATAAACCGTGGTTTAGCAAAATCCGGGGTTGACATTACATATGATATTATGTGTATATATATGATATTATATGTATATATAGTGTTATTAGTATGATACAGTAACTGGTTAACCATAACTGTCAACATTAAATAGCCAAAAATTGCTACGGTAAATCTCCCATTCTCAGACCCAAATCCAGTGCGCCCAGCATCATCGATCATGCCCCGTAGCTCTTCATCTGTCAGTTTTTCTCCCAAATCCCGCGCGATCCGCTTCAAATTCCTGCGGTGCAACTCTTTGGAGCACAAAAAAAAGGTGATTTGACGAGAAACAACCAGAAAAAATGGGCGAACAATGGTAAACAAGAATGAGGAATTGGTGAAAGATAGTGATTTGATCGAGATTTCATGGTTTACGATGTTTTTTGTAGGTATATAAAGTTTGATGGGTGAAACTAAACCAACTTACATAATACTGTTTGGAGCCTTGAAACCCGCAACCGCGATGACAATAAAAACTGGATGGCTGGGAATTTTCTCCAGTTTCATTTAAGATTCGCCATTGATTTTCAGGGGTAACATCTTTCTCAAAATCACTCAATAAAATTTAACAAAATGCATAAAAACAGTTTCAGACTCAGAACTACTATTTGACCACGTATATTCAAATACAATTTGGACAATAGATTTATGAAGTTGGACACTCTTCAGATGCCGTTGCCGGCCCCGTTTTTTCATCACCTGAAGGAAATCTTGCCACGCTTGTCTTCGTCAAACAATTCCTGGGACACACGGGGATGAGGACAAAAATTGACGCCCAGGGACCACAGATTGAAATGTCTATTCAATGGTAATTGCAGGATCCTAAAATGGAGCTACTGTGCCATATTTCAGGCTATATTTTGTGGGGATATTCCCTGAAATTAAGGCCTCAAAAATAGGCCTTATATATGGTAGGTACCTCCAATTTAGGTTCCTGAAATGACCATTGATCTATGTTTAGTATTAACCATCTAAGTATTGGGCTAGAATGTCAATGAAATGTCTATGTTTAGTATTAACATGTACTAAAAAAGTGCAACTATTGGGGTACACCCAATTTTCACCGATCGTCTTAATATCTAATTATACCAAATGATATCCCCAAAAGCTCCCTCCTAGTGGGCTCAAAAACTCATGGGGATCCATGGGCTTCATCAACTCACTAAGCCAAGCTTCCGAAACTGGGAGCCAAGCTGCCAATGGAAAATCCCATATATGTGGAACGTATAATAATCATACTGTGGATGGTTGCGAAATCCTGCACCAGTTGATAGGTGGTTTATCCCATTGTTTCTAGGGTTTCAACCATCCAGGTGGTGCAGGATTTCGCAACCATCCACAGTATTACAGTAAATCAACCTACATATACCAATAGATTCTATTCCCTACAACACCCATCACAATGATGTTGAAATTCCCTTATGGGGTAAGGGTCTACAAGTTAAAAACCCCTGTGTTCTTGGGATTTGTTTGATGTTTTCGATTTCACATTCACAACAATCGCAATTTCTGCTGGCTTCGATTTCTGTTCAAAAACAACAAAGATTGCATGGCATGCAGGATTCGTTTGGCATCAGTTGGCATTACACAGATTATATCAGTCCGAATTTATCTTGTCTTTTTGGGGGAAAGAAGGTCTGCTATTTGGTATATATACTAGAATTATCATCACCTTACAGTTCTCTAAACATCCAAAAAGATCTATATAGAAACGCTTCAACATTTGCAATCTCTTCCATCAAACATTTCCACGGTTTTTCCCATGGTTTTTGTGTCCCAGATCTTTCTGTATCTAAACGCCCTAGTCACGTTGCGTCCAGCGTTGACCTGACCGAGTCACGAAGGCCTTGCGGATCTCATCCATGGGATCTTGGGCTGCGTAACGTTGGATCATAATCTCCTCGAAGGCATCGAAAGCGATGTAGCCTTGAAGCTGGTGCGGAAAGGGAAATGACCCGGGGAACGGGGGGAGATTCTACTGAGAAAATGAAGCAAAATGGTGGTTTAACCATGGTTTAACCATGGTTTCACCATCTTAAAACAGCAAAATAGGATAAAATAGGGATCTGTTGAATCTATTATACCAATCAAAATGGTGGTGATTGAAATCAATTGTATCAACATGGTTTAATTATCTTCAAACAACGTTAAATAAGAATCTATTCTTGGAATAATGGATGCAGTACGAGTATTCTGATCGATTGGAAAACCGAAAAAAAATGCTGAAGCAATGTGTTTAAATAGGAATTGTTTATCATAACCATCATTAAAATTTGACAGGCAACCCTGTTTCCTGTAGATGTTCCGAAATCGAATTTAAATCTAACAATTGATGGTTGAACATGGTTTGACCAACAAATAAGGATCTATCTTGGATAAAGCCCCATTTTGATGGGTTGAAATTGTCATGTGTGTAACACACAACAGGATAACCCATCAAACGGTGCGACCCCATCAACTGGATATACGTTTCCTCTTGGGATGGAGGAATGGTTACGTGTTGAGAATGACAGGTTTCAGTTCGGCGACTTGATCTGGATGGTTTGTCCACAAATACAATCAAATACGGGGAAAACCACGTGAATTAAATGGTTTCAAAAATTAGTCAGTAATTTTCCCCATGAAGAAACGCAATGTCGGGTCAAAAACACGTTTTGAATATGTATATATACACACTCATATCCATGAAATATATTTTGCAATGAACCATTTCCCGTGAGAGTATACAACCCATCACCCCCATACTTTTGATTTTATCCCCAATGTCTTTATCTATAGCTTATACCAAAATTATCCAATTACTTATACTCTAATCATGTTCATTCATATTCCGTATGTATGCTTCTGTAAAATGACCATTTTGGGGAATAGAGTGGTTTCCACAATGACAAAGCATCACCCATTATGAGCGATGTGGGGACTAGTATATATATATATATATATATAAAGTTATATTATATACATGTATATATATATATATATAAAGTTATATTATATACATGTATATATAATATATATATATATATATCATATCATCGAGTTGGTAGAGGTAAATACGCACACCAACAAAACACCACAAATTGATGCAAGTTGGGGATGGTTTCCTGGTTGGTGGTTTCAACCCCTCTCAAAAATATTAGTCAATGGGAAGGATTATCCCATATATGGAACATAAAAAATGTTCCAAACCACCAACCAACCATTATGGCTTTGAACGAAGGCTACCATCCAAGTGACCCGTCTCCTCGCGATCATACCTGCCAAAGTCGATGTGACTCTCCCAGGAAGGCCGTGTCGTGGCTAATGAAATCATTGAAATCCACCATTTTGAACATTACTCTCTGGTAAACAAACATAGCTATTGAAAATGGCCATAGAAATAGTGGATTTTCCCATGAATAGCATGGTGATTTTCCATAGTTCTGTTATAGTTTACCAGAGGGTATAAATTAATTAATGATATATAGATTAATCTGAAATCACCATTTTGAAATCTCATAATTAATCATAGAAATCACTCTAATATTTTTGTTTTTGAGATCTTCTGGATTCTCGTCAGGGACTAGTTCAGAAACATGACACTGCCCACATCTTTCATCAACACTCACCGATCATAAGATGCTGATCATAACAGTGGTTCCGTGCATTTCCCCTGTAAGCATAACCTGTTTTGGTGGGGCTTCACCGCTTTTATTAACACGCCCAATGAACACAGCTTCATCTTTGGGCTTACCATTTTTCTCGGTGTATCCTGATGATACATACTTGAATACATAGCTGTTGACATCCAGGTCTTTGGCCGTATCCCTGTATTCCAAGGTCTATTCCAAGGTTATATAAAGGAACAAACTTCATAGTTTGTTTCTACTCTTGGTGGCTTAATATAGCTAAACTAAGATACATGTTGTACCCTGTGGCACTTGAAACTGCCGAAAACTCCCATGTCTGGTGGATTTCTCAGTCTGCCATGTTGGATTCCAGGGGTGGCTGCTGAAACGGTACCCCATTTCTGGCCCGAGACATGCCAGACATCAGATTCTTGGTTATATCATATATCTCCTACGAAGAAATTTTATCCTCAACTATATGATGGTTAGTAGAGATATAATATATCATATATCTGCCCCAGACATCAGATTGTTGGTTAGCATGTTTTTTTCCCATGAAATATCCTCATATCGTCCCCGTCTTATCTCCATAAGCGCCTCGCCATAAGCTCCAAGGCTTCTGGCTTCTTGATCTCGAATCCTTTGAGTCGGCTCCATGCCGAGAGAAAACAGTCACAACTGGGTCCATAATTATGATCAATAATGATCAATAATGATCAATAATATTGATATAGTACTGCTAATGCTAATATACCAAGAATAAGAGCAATAAAAATAATTACTATTATTGTCAATTATTGTAGTTATATATATATAGATAATAACAGGAAAAGGGCTAGCAAGGGCAACAGTCACTTGGGTTCCATCCATTTTTTGTGAAACACCTCATCCAACCGTGTTTCCACATATGAGACACATCAGATTTTGCTTGGGAGGAGGGAGTGATTGAATAAGTCCGAACTGAGATGTGATAAATGGATAGCCTGTTGCGTTGATTTTTACTTTGGGATGCTTCATCTTTGCCATAGAATGACTGATGGATGTTTTTTGTTGTTCATGGTTGTTGATGGTTGTTGATGGTGTCTGATGACTAACTGATAAAACTTGGTCTCTTCATGGTTTTAATGTTTGGAGCATTTGTCGGATGGCTCGGCACGATCTCTCAGGTGAGGCAGGATGACTATTCCACCACCAATCCCTAGCAGTAGAGTGATATCTTATCACAGGGGATTAGTTTAGTGTGTGTATGATAAATTTACTCCGGTGATGAGCCAAAAACTGTTTCGAACACTCCTAAAACCACAAAAAAGATCAAATGATCAAGACTAAGTAGAATTTCAAGAGCTGTTTCATGTGTTTTCCCATGGTTTTCCCATGGTTTTCCCATGGTTTTCCCACGGTTTTCCCATGGTTTTCCCATGGGTTTTCCCATGGGTTTTCCGTTCTGCAAGATTGCCGAGACTCCCATGGCTCGGATGGCCACCTGGCGTGGTCTCCGGTGACTTCGAAATGATAAAAGGTGATGAAGCATCTATAGTGATGAACTATCTATAATAACTAAATAACTATAAAACGATTATAGTGATATCTATTATATAACAATTATCTATAGTGATATCTATTATATGAACCATCTATAATTAATTAGATATAGATAGATAAGGTGATGAAGCATCTATCATTGTAGTAACTATAGTAACTATAGAACCAACTATAGTAATAGTAACAGTAATAGTAATAGTGATGAACCATCTATAACTAATTAGATATAGTAGTTATAACTACAATTAGTAAATGGATGTAAATGGATGTAAATATGGTATAATGGATATAAATGATGTATTACAATAATGTAATTATAATAAATGGTTATAACTACTATATCTATATAGTAGTTATAACTACAATTAGTAAATGGATGTAAATGGTATAATATAGTTATAACTATAATAGTAGTAACTATAGTGATGAACCATCTATCATTGCCCATGACGGATCCATGGGGCTGCTATATATGCTAACAAAAATGGGGTATATTGATGGGATCCAATGTTACCATATATAGCAGCACCATGGATCCTATGGGTTGTAGTAACTATAGTAACTATAGTAACTATAGTAACTATAGTAACTATAGTAACTATAGTAACTATATATAAAACTAATTTTCTTAAATAGTGATGAACCATCTATAATATTAGATATAGATAGATATAGTAGTTATAACTACAATTAGTCAATGGTATGATATATAGTTACTATTTCGAAATTATATAAGTAGTTACTATAGCTATGACATAGTTATTATGAACCATCTATGAAATGAAGTAATAAAAACTATAGTAACTATATAAAACTAATTTTCTTAAATAGTGATGAACCATCTATAATATAGTTACTGTTGATTTAAGGAAATAGAAGTTATATCAGTTCAACTATATCTATACCCTCTGGTAATTTGTTACAGTTGGCTATTGAACATGGTCATAGAAATAGTTGATTTACCGTTCTTAAAGATGGTGATTTTCCATAGCTTTTGTATGTTTACCAGTTAACCAGTTGTTTTCTGTGCGTCGATGGCTCGGGCTCTCACCTTGTAGGTATCATAGCTAATGATCTCATAGCGGAAAATGGCTGGAAAATCCTGCCGCATAAACATGATCCATAAACATCATCCATAAACCATCATAGACCATCATATTTTGGTGGTTCATCCCACGGCTCGTAAGTGGTTTATAACCCCAGTTATAAATGGGATAAGTAGGGTAAATCCACTTGTAACTGGGGTTATAACCCACTTACTAAGTGGGATGAACCACCAAGTAAACCATCATAAACCATCATAGACCATCATAAACCAATTAGTATAGCTACCTTGGAGTAGGGGACACTACTAGGAGTTCATGGCATTGAAAAATCAGTGCCCTGATTTCCAGAACATTCAACCTGCTGTCATAGCCTGGTATCTAATGGTTAATAGAAGAGTTATGTTCAGATATGTTCCGCACTATTTACCAGGATTTACCAGGTATACAACCATGAATTAGCCTGTTTGCTGCTATCTGGAACATTCAGCATTACTTTTCCGAAAAAAAAGTGATCCCGCCACAGAAAAAACACGAAAACCTATCACGAACGGTTGCTGCTGTACTCCCCGTATCGCGGTGCTACTGGACGGACCGTGAACAAATGGAATAAATTCCTTGCGGGGCTTACGGGGCCTGCAGGGCTTGCTGCATCACCATGTCTAGTTGTTGTATTCACGGACGTGTTGATTGCTTTCCTCTTGATTGCATGTCCAGCTGTTTTGATGATGTTCTTGTTCTTAAACTCATAATTTATGTAATATCCGTACAATACGTATACATACTAGTGTATATATATATCGTGTATTTAGTATGGCTCAGTTGCTTAACCCTGACGTGTGTGTCGCCTAAATCATTCATACCTCGAATTGTCATCTATTATCCATTCTGTCACATCCCATTATGTATCCATTTACATCCTACTATATCACGCATATACCATATTGATATACCCACAGATTGCCATCTTCAATGTGCCTTCAGCTCATGATAGTCCATCTTCCCAGTGCGTTCGGAATCAAAAATGTCGAAGGCCTACACCGAAATTCCGAAATGCGGCCGCTGTCTGAATGAACTAACCACTAACCAACCCCCCAAAACAAGGTAAGATATATATATATATATATGTGTATATATATAGCTATATATATATAGCTATATATATATATAGCTATATATATATAGCTATATACATAGCTATATAAAATGCGATTGAGCTACTACTGATTTGTTCATCTATGTTTGTTTAATCCTTGTTTAAAATTGTTATAGATATTTACGGATTCGTACTGAAACGACCATCAACCTGTTGGGTTTATAACTGAACCATTAACATCCATTAACCAACATGAACCAACAAGAAACCCATAGGATCCATGGTGCTGGTATATATGCTAACAAAAATGGGGTATATTGATGGGATCCATGTTACCATATATAGCAGATCCGTCATGGGATCCGTCATGGGATTTAAACTACCCTCTGGTAATTTAACAGTTCGCTATGGAAAGATCCACCATGCTATTCATGGGAAAATCCACTATTTCAATGGTCATTTTCAATAGCAAACTGTTAGTTTACCAGAGGGTATATACCATATCATTCCATTTGTCACCATTGTTAACCATTAAATCACCATTTATAGTGGTTAAATCACCATTTTCCTATGGTTTTTGTTAAATACACAAAAAAACCTTCACAACCAATCAAGCCCACCAGTGGAGCAGTGGAGACAGCCCAACAAAACCATCTGGTTTTCTGACTTTCACAGGGCTAGCGAACTGGAAAGATCCACCATGCTATTGAGAACGGTAGACACCATCTATTTCGATTAGGGCCAATAAATGGGCCATCTATACCATGGCGAACTGTTCAATAACCAGAGGCTCCATGTCATGAAACATGTCATGAAACATGTCATGAAACATTAGACTTTTAATCCTGGTTGGTTAAATGTCCAGTTGGTTAAATGTTGAGCATCACCATGGAGATGATCATCGGATGGACAAGCGGAATCTAATTCAAGAGAAAGCACCAGTGGAATCTTGGTGAATTAGATCATACATTAGATCTGAGTATGATCTAATTAGATCTGAGTGAATCTAATAGATTATACATATTAGATTAGATCATACATATGATAGTAGAACTATATGATAATCTGGTTGGTGGTGCAATAACCATCTTGAAAAATATGACTTGTTCAATGGGAAGGATGACATCCCATATAAAAAATATTTGAAACCACCAATCAGTAATAGATCATGGCAATAGAATAGAACTGTATTCTCCAATTAGATCTAGTTAGATCATATTATATGTTATGTCCCCATCATTGTTGGTTCACACCTCCTTGATCTCTTGCCGCTGCTCCTGCGAACTGCGAAGGGGATCCGTGATGATGACAAATCGGTAGTATGTTTGCTGGAAATGGCTATTTTGGGCGCTATTTTATATTTTGCTGTGTACAGGAAAAATATTTGGGGTACCTGAGTGATTATTAATTTCACTCAAATGGTGTTCCAAGGATTTAATCACCTACTACTAGTACACCTGTGCATTTTGCAAGTAAATCCTTGCACTGACATGAAGGAAGGTCCACCTTGGACCCTTTCCATGATGGCTGCTCGAGTGACCACAGTTGATTCGCTCAAAGTCCAACATCTTTTGTGGATTATATGATAAACTCCTCCAAGCCCAAGCTTGTCTCAAAGGTCTATGGATACAATCCTTAAATATGCAAATGTATATCACATGTATAATCAATATATATATATATAATTATATATATATATACATACACATATTGTTTGCATTTGTATAACACATATTACATGTGAATATACACATATATGAAGTAGGATGATGGTTGATGCTTCTCGCAGCATCTCCCAGCATCTGGGTCGTCCTTAGACACCGCCTTATGCGCAGCGCGGCTCTGCCTGACATTGCGGTCCAGGCGCTCGAATCCGCGCCTGGAGATCAAGCGGCTCTGGCGGCTCTGCCACGTGTAGAAAAGCCATGGGAAATCATGACCAACTGGCACTGCTTGGTGGTGACTCAACCATCTTGAAAAATATGAGTTCGTCAATGGGAAGGATGACATCCCATATATGAAATGAAAATAAAACATGTTCCGAACCACCAACCAGATAATGTCAACCCCGGATTGTGCTAAACCATGGTTTATGAAAATCTGGGGGTATTCCCCCAAATGTCATGATTTGATACTTTTTTGTGGTACCTTCCCAATTAAACAGCCATTTGGGGTTGACATTAATCCAGGGTTGACATTACCGATGGGGGCCATTTACCTGGGGATCATTTACCTGATTTATCATTCACGGGATTACTGGATTCCTTGATTTTTACCTGATTAATCCTCTCCCCCTAATACTACCCCCCCCAAATAATAAACACCTCAGGTAGTTTTTATTAGTAGGGGGGTATTTATTATATTTTATTATTAGGGAACCAAAGCGGACACTAATAATAAATTTAAATTTAAATCCTCAATTAAAAAAACTTGTTTTTTAATTTAAAAATCAATTAAATGTCCATGTTATAACGCAATTAAAATATTGCCAAAAATTGATTTCGAAGCGGACCCTAATAATAAATTTAAACCCTTAATAAAAAATACTAAAATGTTCAAACGGACCCGAATGAAAAACACCCCGGGGCCCCGGGCCTGACGAGTTTTATTATTCGGGGGCGAAACCCACAAATAGTAGCTTTATTTTTAAAATGATTTCTAAAGGGGATCAATTAAAAGTCAAATTGGCCAACCTGAAATTTTCCAAAATTGGAGATGGACCCTAGTTTTTATTATTCGGGGGGGGAGTAATAGGGGGAAGGGATTAAACCAACTCAATGGCCAACTCAATGGCCATTTCAGGAACCTAAATTGATGGTACCTACCCTATATTACAAGGCCTATGGGCCTATGTAAGGGCTATGCAAGGGAATATCCCCACAATTCATATGGCCTGAAATATGGTACTAACGTACCTCCAATTTAGGATCCTGAAATTCCCATTGACCAACTGGGTCATCATGGGATCAATGGGAAATATAGTTAGTTGGGATCTAACTGGGGAATATTTAGGATGAAGAATTAGGATATCTCATTGGCAATATCATGGTCATTGGGATATCATGGAGATATACAGCGAAAAACACTGTATAATGATGCAGTGTCTAAGAATTTGCTGGGCTCACACACAATACTGATGCCTTTTCAGGGTCTTGCAATTCGAATAATAAGCAGCCGGGATATTATGGGAATATCTAGGGATAATCATTGGGATATAATGGGAATATACCCTCTGGTAATCAGCCATGGCTGTAGTGGCTGGGCTGTCACTTGTGACTCTGAAAATTTGTCACTTGTGACTCCTGTCACTTGCCACTCGAAAAATCGATCACTTGCGACTCGAGCCCCTTTTTGATCCAAACAAGGAAACGGGGGGAATATGACTTGTGTGCCAACTTTCGATCCCAACTTCAGATGGATCTGTGAATATACAAGACACGCTGGAAATCCAGACAATTTCGCTGCAACTTTGCGCAACCTCACAAGCTCGCCAAACATATCCGAAAATCACTGGTTGGTGGTATACCTACCCCTCTGATGAAAGTCACTTGGGATGATGACATTCCCAACTGAATGGAAAGTCATAAAAGCCATGTTCCAAACCAACAAGCAGATCACCATCATATTCCCATTGGTGTTGGTTTATAGCCTACTAACCACTATTAACCATCACTATTACAGTAACCATCACTATTAACCAAGCAGATCATTTTGTTGAGATTTTACGGATCCAGAGTCCAGAATTCTGGGATACAGTGCCATGGGGAAAAAAAAAGTCAGGCCCCCTGGCCGCCCCACCAATGGGCCTGCCGACGGTGGACAGTGCCATGAGTGCTGTGAAACCAACGTGCCGTCACTCTTAGTCCCTGACAGATTTTAATATCACCAGACTGGTTACACATGTTTGCTAGCAGTATATGGTCATGTTTGCTTATGTTTATGTGGGGATGGGTCAAAACCCTGGTACCTAGTAAACCCCAAAATAGCTGGGATTTATGGATGTTCATCCCACTAAAAATGTATCTATAGGTATTGACCCATACCCATGTCTGTTTGTGCCTGCTGATGTGCGGGAGCATGAGTTGATTTCTTAACTTTTGAGAGCCATGCATTCGGTGAGCTCAAAATGTGCGCTATATACTTCACCTGGAACATACTGTGAACAGTAACGGCCCAGTGCCAAACATGTGTGGATGAGCAACCAAACCTTCAAAACAGGGATGGCCCAATGCCGGTGAGTAATTGGCGAACATAGTGCCCCCAGCCCAATATGAAATACTCCCCGTACCACTACCCAAAATGAATAGATCCCATATAACCAGGGAATCCTTTGGGGATACTCTAAATATGTTTGGGGCTTGGATGAATCACAATCCGGGTGTTCGGGGCTCGAACAAAACCGAACAACTGCAAAACAGACCGAGTAGCGGTTCCAAGGAAATTGGGGAAATCTACTTTGGAAAAAAATCAAATATAAGTGTTCATAAGTTGTCCATCTGTTTTCTTGTTTGAGACACCCAAAACTTGCTCATTTATCATTTCACAGGCACCTTGCAAACAATGACTCTTTCCATACCAGCGATTTGAAGTTGTAGTTTTCTAACCAGCAGTCTGATGACGGACGGCTATGACGTTTATATAAATACTATGCTATGGTTTGAGGTTGACTCAAAGCTACAAAGGAAGATGGCTACCCTCAGGTATTCAAACAAGACAAGTGGAATCCCCTATGCATGGAGGTATTAATGGGAAGATGAATATCATCTATAAATGGTGGATTTTAGTTTCTGGAGGGTAAGTAATTCCAACTTATGCCTATACTTGATCCGTATATAGCTGGATGATGTCTCTCGGGAAAAATGCCCTTCCAAGTACAAAACTTTGCTGCCACAATGTCAATCAAAAAAATCCAACCCAACTCTGCCTTATTCCGAGAACCATCATTGGTTTGGAGTTTTTGGATCATAAGTGGTGCCTTATTATTGAACCAAAACCATCATTGGTGCCTTAATCCAAAATCCAAACCCAAAAAGGTGAGGGTCGATTTTAACAAAGGACCCGAATCCTGGATGCCAGAAAGAATCCCGATGCCAGACACAATGCCAGAAAGAATGTCAGACTCTATATATATATATATATGCCATTAAAAAAATAAATAATAATAATAATAACAATAGTAACTCCAGATGGTATGTCAGAAACTATGTCAGAAAAAAATGTGGATCACTTGAAGTCATGCTTTTCATGCCCTCAGACCACCGCCCCCGCCCCGGCGGTCTTTTCAGCGCAGTCCGCTCCGCCCCCGCCAGGTGACGTCTGGTCTCCCCGCCCTGACCTATGGCGTTAAAGTGATGATCAACCCATGGGAGAAATGGGGATCATATTTAGACCCAAAAAACATGACAGATATCATATATCTATCTGCAAATGGGATGGGGTGGAGTGAAATGGATAGTTAGATATAGTTAGTTTTCCTGTTTTAGTTGATACTTGTTGTTTTACGTGTGTCTGCAGTGTATCAATACTAAGAGGGGTTGTAAATGTTCCTTCAATCGGATTTTTTTGGTGAATGGCTGCTGGAAATGAATTATTGTTAAGCCAGCCAGGCAACCGTAAGTATGCTTTGGCTTCAGACTTCTTATATAATGCGTATTGGGCTTGGACGCGGTGATTGGTCATCAACTGCATGCCTTGAGCATATTTAGACGTGTATTCTATCATATTCTATCGCAGGTCAATTTTGTCATGGATCTTGGTAGAAGTCAGGGAGCGTCCCAATTGGCTATCCTCAGCGCCATGATATATGTTACAAACATATCATGATGTTGAATATTTTGGAAAAACTACAGCCCATCATCAAGGGTGCTTTCAACACTCCCGATACAAGGGGAACAATTGGCTAAACACATGCAATGTTTTGCCTATTCCCCTCGTGGTGGAAATAAATTATCTATAAATTCCCATATCGTAATATTCCTGAGCCATAAGTTGCGCTTTAAAAAAACATGAACTATGTGGATATATCTACCAGAAACCTCATGTTCACTGAAGATATATCTATCATAGATTCGCATTGTGATCCCCATATTATGTTGGTCATATTACATTAATTTACAATTCTATCCCCATATTTTGTTGGTTACGTTCCACTAAATCATCAGTTGTATCTTCATGGTTTTCCGTTTATTTTTCATTACCATCATATCCGCATGTTCCCCATTGTATCCTCAGACACGTATGTGCAAATATGTATAATATGTATATAATATGTATATATATATGTATACGTATATACACGTATTCCCCCAGTTATGTCTGTTGGTTTACAACCCCGTTGACTACAGATATGTCTACCATAAACCTCAACACTGCAAATCATGGGATTATAACGTCAATGGCCATGACTCAGGAACCGAAAAAAATGGAGGTACCGATTCCATATATCTTTGGCCTATTTTTGAGGCCTAAATTTCAGGGAATATCCCCACAATTCATATGGCCTGAAATATGGTACTGACGTACCTCCATTTTAGGATCCTGAAATTCCCACTGATAACGGGATTTCTACCATTTACATCCACCAACTGCCTGCTGACCCGGCTGTCGATGGTGGCTCTCTATCAGCTGATCACCTCGCTAGGAACAGTTGGAATCCCCCATGCAGAAACATCGTAAGCTGGGGGTATTCACAATCAAATATTAATCAAACAGATCTATGAATCAAATAAAACTATTCATCGAAAATAGATCAAATATATTGAGATACAACAATGCATCAATCAATCTATCAAAACAATCAATCAATTCAAACCAGATCAAATCAAATCAAACCGAATCAACCAATCGGCCAATATATAAACATCGATTCATATCTATTCATCTATGTGTATACAGTATACACGTGTATAATTCCAATCTAGTGTGTCATATCTGAGAAACAAATACAGTATGTAATTTATAACACCATCCATGAACATGATGAGTATCCAATGGAGGGATTGCTATTGCATACCAGTTTTTTCTATTACCCACATACGTATGGAACATGTTGTGTACCAGTAGTGCCGCACAAGGCGGTGGCGGAAGTTTCAAAAATAGGAAACCTATAGGAGAAGTTGGTTGTTGCGAATCAGGGATGGCAGAGCAAAGCCACTGATTGACCAAAAGGTGGTTGGAGTTGTGTTTGCTGGAATGGTTGCAATGGTTGCAGTGGTCACCTCACCCACAACTGCTGGATGTAGTGTGATGTACTGCAACTGTAGTTGTAGTTGTAGCGTAGTGGAGTTGTAGTTGTGGTGTAATGTAATTAGTGTAGTGTAGTTGCAGTCATATGGTTGTAGCTGTAGTTGTTTTGTAGTTGTAGTTGTAGTTGTTTTGTAGTTGTAGTTGTTGTGTGGTTGTAGTTGTTGTGTAGTGTTGTAGTAGTAGTAGTAGTTGTAGTAGTAGTAGTTGTTGTTGTTGTAGTTGTAGTTGTAGTTGTTGTTGCTGTAGTTGTAGTTGTAGTTGTAGTTGTAGTAGTAGTAGTAGTTGTTGTTGTTGTTGCTGTTGTTGTTGTAGCTGTTGTAGTTGTAGTTCTAGTTGTAGTTGTAGTTGTAGTTGTTGTGTAGTTCTTGTAGTTGTAGTTGTAGTTGTAGTTGTTGTGGTTGGTGTTGTTGTTGTTGTTGCTGTTGCTGTTGTCGTCGAAGTTAGGGTAGTTAAGTTAGTGAAGTTAGTTAAAGTTAGTCATGTTAGTTAAGTTAATCAGTGTCTACTTTTTCGACATCTTCACGTCAAAAAAGGCTCAAAACCCTCAGTTTTTTACACTTTTGACTTCGAAATGTGCTTCGCGCCACAACGGCGTGCACTTTTTCGACACTTTTTCGACCTCTGAACCTCCCAAAGTGGTCCGAGACCGTCAGTTTTTAACACTTTTGACTTGGAAATGTGCTTCGCGCCACAACGGCGTGCACTTTTTCGACATCTCAACTTCCAAAAGTGGCCCGGACCTGGTGTGTTTTGTACATTTTGACTTGGAAATGTGCTTCGCGCCACAACGGCGTGCACTTTTTCGACATCTCAACTTCCAAAAGTGGTCCGACCATGGTGTGCTTTGTACATTTTCACTTGGAAATGTGCTTCGCGCCACAACGGCGTGCACTTTTTCGACATCTCAACTTCCAAAAGTGGTCCGATCCTCTAGTGCTTTGTCCATTTTGACTTGGAAATGTGCTTCGCGCCACAACGGCGTGCACTTTTTCATGTCTCATCTGGCCAGCTGGCTCCGCACCCGCCGCTTTAGCGCCTACTTTTCGACCCTCCGGAGCCACAAACCATTGGAAAAACACAGTGAATCGCGACTTTCCTACCTTTTCGCGCATCTGCATCTTCTTTCTTCTGATCTTTTCTCTTCTGACTCTTTTCACCTCTGCTTTTCAACTGTCCATATTGTCGGAAGTTTCACTTCTAAACTTCCTTCGACAATTAGAAAACAAATTATATATATATACACATATATATATATATGTTTATATATTTATGCATACACTACATGTATAATTACGTATTTATCTTATACAATACGTATAGTATTTAACATGTATATGCTAAGTATAAAATTATGTATGAATGTATGTAATGTAATGTAATGTAAGGTAAGGTAAGGTAATATAATGAAATGTATGTAATGTATGTAATGTTTGTAATGTATGTAATGTATGTAATGTTTGTAATGTATGTATGTAATGTATGTAATGTATGTAAGTATGTATGTATGTATGTATGTATGTATGTATGTATGTATGTATTGATGTAATGTAATGTAATGTAATGTAATGTAATGTAATGTATGTA